ACTATAGTAACTTTAAAAACATACTCAAAACATTTTTCATTAACAGTTGCCAATTTTGAACAAAATTTATTGGAATATTTTAAAAATTATTCATATTTTGATAATCTGAAAATATAAAGAACAAATGCTGTTGCCATGATGCATTATTTGATAATCTTATGAATAATAAGGATAATACAAAAACTGAAAATCATGAGAATTTAACATTTTTCAAAATGCTCAATAGGTAACTATTTTCTCTCTCTCTCTCTATATATATATATTTATTTAAATGTGACAGCCTAACAAAATTCTAGCTAAAGAATTTGAAAGTTTGAATTAGTGTTTGTTCATTCTAAAGAGTATCGAGATCTGATAAATTCAATAGATTTATCAAACATCTGGCCCTAAGTGTTTTGACACAAAACTCAAGTTGGTCAAAGAAAATGAAGGTTCCAACCAAATATGTTATCATCATAGAAAATTCAACCTGACATTAATCTAAAAAGTACTAAATTCTTAAAAAAAAAAAACTCATCTCAAAATATGATAAACTTACATTTATAAAAATTTTGAACAAGCTAAGCAAGTTTTCATATTTTGTAGTTCTATACTACAAATAAAAAATAATCCATCTTCCTAATCAATTTACTATTTTGAGTATGCCTAATGGCAGAAATAGTTGTATATTTCTTACCAGGTCCAGACAAAAATATTAAGATTTCAAATTTTCCACTTGAAAGACTGGTGCATCACAATCTTCTTAACCATGTAAATATTATCTTAAGCTATATAGATTTGTTTTTAAAATTATTTATATTTGTAAGCCATAAAATATTAGCCAAGCAAAATGAGATGACGGTTATAGAGATTTTCCAAGCGTAGATTAGATGTGGCACAAGGCCAAAAGTATGGGGCACCCAGTGAGGATCAAACTCACTACTCGGTTGTAATTATTCTAGCAAGACAAGCTTGCCAACCATTACACTACCTCAAGGTGCCCATGAGATGACAGTTATATGATTTCCTTTTTATTCTACTCAAATATTGTTGGGTAATTTTCTTAAAAAAAAAACCCCAAAAAACGAACCAATTACTTGGAAGACTAACTTTGCCAAACATGAACTTCTTTCACTTTTTTTTTTCTCTTTCAGAGAAATTAGGAATGCTAGTTTATCAAAAAAAAATAATTAATTATTGCACCAAGTGTACAATCATAAGATTATTCCTTTTTCTTTTTTTAAGATAACTGACTGTATACTGAATAAAAAGCAAACTGCAAAAACCGTTTTTTCCTCATGAAAAAAAAAATTACAGAGGGTTGGGGATAAGATACAAACAAGAATCATTGACTATTTTTAACTGTCAAAAGTGATAGGATTATTAATAAAGAAATACTGTCAGTGATCAGTATAGTATCTGTGTGATGCATAGAAGCAGTGTAGTACCTGTATTCTACCTCCCTTAGTGTTTGTAAGTTAATTCTACCATGCTGTTCAAGCAGCAGGATATTAGCAAAATGTCCTTTGGCTGATTCCTTCCAGGTTGGATATTCAAATCAGGAAATGATTTTGTTTGGTTTACTAGGAGATATTATAAAGAAAAACTAACACTGCTCATTATTTGGTTTACTAGGAGATATTATAAAGAAAAACTAACACTGCTCATTATTTGGTTTACTAGGAGATATTATAAAGAAAAACTAACACTGCTCATTATTTGGTTTACTAGGAGATATTATAAAGAAAAACTAACACTGCTCATTATTTAGCAACAGTAATCTTGATAAAGTTGAAAATTTAAATTTTTTAATAAGAATTGCGATCTAATGTTTTAACTTGCACTATTATCTCTTAAAAAAAATTCTAAGCAATTCATATCTGAATTTTTAAAAACTGATTTTAAAAAATTAAAGTGTAATTCAGATTAAATTAACTTTGATTATCAATGAATTTTTTTTTTTTTAATTTGGATTGCAGGCATATTTTAAAATTGTCTAATGATTATTGAATTGTTTTTGTATCTAAAGAACTTTTACTAGTTGAAAATACAAGAATTCCTTTTTTAGACTTAGGAGAATGGAGAACAAAGGGAGTTCTTTAACTTTAACTGAATCCAAAGGTACTGCCACAACAACAACTGGAAGATTCTCATTCCTTTGAAGATCTATAACTTGTTTAGCACAGGAAATTGGACAATGATACTACTTTAATAAGAGTACAGTCGGAACATTCTCTGATGTTTATGGTAAATACTTGTGTACTGTCAGCATTTTGGAATAAATCCTGATGTTCTCTTTCTAATATTAACATTTTAATAGAAATCTTCCCTAACATCTCTTTAGTTAGGTACCTCCACTTAGTTTTGATACTTTGGTTTAAAATGAAATTTAAAAAATAAAAAAGCATTCTTGAAGCTTACTTTTTAGCTTTAATTGAAATTGATTAAATTTACTATTTCCAGTAAGCAAAATACTCTGGTGTGTTTCAAATAGAAATTATATTGATTAGAATCTCAACTTTTTGCTCGCTTTCAGAAATTGTTTCAATTCATCCATTTTTGACACCTTTGTAAACCAAAGTTAATTCTTGATTTTAAAATTTTTTCCAAAAATAAAATATACTTTTCTGAAACTTTATTTGAGGAATACTAGCTGAATTAAAGTATAATTAATCTGATTTGAAAAAAAATATTTACTTTAAGTTTAAAATAACAAAGAAATGAATTTTTAAAATGAACAGTAGCATCAACACCTCATTAAACACTTGAGTAATTTATGAGGTGCTGACACTTATTATTCTAAGGAGACTGTATCTATTAAAACATAATTTAAGAAAATGATAGATAAATGCTTTTTTTATAATTTTTAAGTATGCAGTAATCTTAATCTAATTTTAGGAATGTTGAATTTAAATTTACTATAGTCAATATAGCTCTTATTTTCTGATTGTGTTGTGTATGGTCACTTTCAAACAGGGGCATGTTAAGTAAACATAAAAATTAAAAAAAAAATGCGTGTAAATGACTTAATGAGCTTTTCCGTTTTTGATTCATAAATATAGTTTTCACTTAATAACAATATCACATAACCAGATTGAAGTAATGCAGAATTTTAAATGATTTATAATATAAATTATTATAATTAAAATTGAAAAAATGAAAACAATTCTTGTAAAAATTCATTATTCATTGAACATTTTTCTTAATAAATATTTATAAAAGCAATTAAAAGCTTCTCTCATTAAATGTCAGTTTTATTGCATTTTTTTATTTTGATTTGGAACAGATTTTCAGAAATGATTAGTTGTTTGAAAAAAAAAAAAAAAAAAAAAAAATGATGATTTACATTCTCCATGGAGTCCGGCTTTTAACTAATAAAACAAATTAAGTAAGTTGGGGTACATATGTAAAATAAAGTTACTAAGATCTACAAAAAATTTCAAAAATAATTTTATTCATTTGTGAATAAGTTCTGAAAGTTTCATTAAAATGTAACAATTACTTGATTTTTGCAAAAATTTCCAAATCAATGTTATCCATCAGAAAAAAAGCATGAATACACTAATTGCAGTTACATAAAAAACAACAAAAATTTTCAACATGTTAGAAAAGAGTAAAAAATTTAAAAACTTAATTAAAAAATAATTTGTTCTTTCCTCTTAATAAACATTTTGATAAAACTTTGTTTTTGTTAAGTTTGGGGCATTTTCTCATTGTGCTATGCTGTTTTTCAGCAAAAAAGTGGAGGTACCTATCTTTAGTAATTGCAAGATACACACTATTTGTGTGGTATAAATTTTTTGAATGTTTTTGGCAGATTTGGGTGACAAAATGAAATATTTGTTGACTGCAATTTTTTTTCTTTTACCTTTTCACAAACCCTATTTCAGGAAAAAAATTATTTGGTTTGGTTACTCATTTAAATAATGACGTGTTCAGTTGAAAAGAAAATTGCTTGGCTTAGGTTTCATTTCACAAAGTAATTGCTTTCATTAATCCTTGTTTCTTTTAATATTTAAACAAATACTAATATTTATTGGATGAAGATCATGTTCATTGCACTTCTGTAATAAAAATAAGGAACATCTTTTTTTTTTCTTTTGCAAAGAGCATACTATTAAAAAAATAAATGTGTCAAATTTATTTGAAAATGAAATTAAAAAAATATTTTACTTTACATTTCATAGTTTTCCTTCATTAAAACGTTCCCAGAGCAATGTTTTTTTTTTTAATAACAAAGATTATATGATATAATTGTAAATTTTGGGATTGGGGGAAGGAGAAAAAAATAAGATGTTCTTATGTCTGTCCAAAATTAACTTTCAGGAAAATATCTCCATGTGAAAAAAATTCATATATTCAAGAATATAAATTATTGAAAAAAAAAAAAAAAAAAAATTTTTTTTTTCTTGTTTTTGCTGCAAGGTTTTACAACAATCTTATAGAGGAAGAAAAAATGTACAAAAGAAAATAAAAAATATATATTAAAAAAATAATTAGATTTGATTTAATAAATATGCTGCATATTTTGGTGCAAAATGCATTTCATAAAAAAATTTTGATTTATGTTTAAAATAGAATCATTGATGTAAAAAGTTAATAAGGATCCACAATAGAATTGGAGTTGATGGGCATTTGATCGATATTCTCACCAAGAGAAAGAATTTTTTGTGCTGCTGCTCGTTGCTCTGCATTCACTCGTTTTAATTCAGGGTGAAAAAAACAAATTAATGTGATGGTGCAAAATAATATCATCAAACCACACATCGTCAGATTGGAATCTGGAAGTAGAAAAATATTTTAAATTGAAAATGTAAAAACATAGGCAGATTTACTTATGGGGAAATGATTGACTGATTTTTTTTTTTTTCATTAACCTATAGGTGTGGAGAAGAGGTGGATTCATACCTTTCCCATGGGGATTTGTGTGTAAGTCAATATAGCAAACCTGTCTGGAATTAGAACCTGGCTCTGATTTCCAATTCCAAGCTGTTATCTATTACACCACCCACACATCCAAGCTTACAGCACCTGGTATTCTGAAGTGGTCACCCATCTAGTGGTCTGACCATGCTCAACGTTGCTTAACTTCAGTGATCGTAGGAGAACTGGTGTTTCAATGTGATATGGCCATAAGCCACTTATGTGGAAAGATGAAATGTTTTACATCTTTATATTGCCAACAAAGTCCAAAATACAAAGATCAGTTCTAGAGTTCGGGATAGTTTTTCATATCAAAATTTAATGAAAAAAATAAAACATGAAATGAAGTTAACCATTTTAATGTGGTTTAATTTCATTTTAATTGTGATAAAAGGTTATCTGTGCACAAATAATATTAAAGTATTGAATAACAGTAATTTAATTTTCAAGTAACTTTCTTCATTTTTTTAAGCTTACAATGTTTTACAAAAGAAAATATTTCTTAAATGCTAAAAAATAAAGATTAAATGAAGAAAAAACAAAACAAAAAACAACTGATGCTTTGCTTAAATCCTGAAATGTAAGAATTGGCTATTTACCTGTGTAGTCCAGTGTGTCTACCTGTCCAGTTGTACTGTTAGTATTACACATTGCATGTATACTTTCAGATGCTGGTAAAGGATAGGCTAATGCTTGCATAAGAATGATAAATATGATGCCTTGCATTTGTCTGAAGAATGAAAAATATAATCTTCAATATTGAGCATGAATTTGTATTATTCAATAGGAAAAAGTCTCAAATATTTTTTTTAAAAACCTGTTAAATTTGTGAACTATGGATATTTCTTTCACAGTATGAAAGATTATTCTTTTGTTGGTAAGAATAAATATTTATGAGAGTTGAAGATAATTAGAAACAATTAAATGTAGAAACTCATGATTCAAAAAGTAGAAAATTATATTTTAAATAAAAACTTCCCTTTTATTTCAATTAATGTAAATAATAATTGGTAATTTTTTTGTAATTCACTTTCAGATTTGCTTAATTTATGAGACAAAAATATAAGATTAAAAATATTTCTTAAATGTATTTGATGAATTAATTTTTTTTTTCTTTCGTTTAAATGGTGATTAACTTAACAGTTGTGTTTTTTTAAGCGTAATTTTAAAAAAGTTTAAAAATGGTTCTGTATCAAGGGAAGTAACTCCTACTTTAATCATTCAGAAGGAAAAATATATAAAATCTTAAAGAAGCCAAAGGCTTGGGTGATTATAGGTAACCAAGTTGTTTGACGTAATTTTGATATGGAAAATAACAAGTATCTAGAAATTATTTTCTAGAAAATTTACAAAATAGTTTTTGCTAGTTACTCCCTTTCTTTCATTTTATCCTTTAATGCAAAATACTTTTCAAAACAAAATCATTTCAAAAGAGGAAAATTATTAGATTAACAATAAACATTAAAATCGTAAATAGTGAAAGATGAAATCCATAGCATAAAATTTCATGTTCTAATCTTACATACCCTGAGATAAATAATAAACCAGAACTTGTTGCCTCAGCAACTGGGTAGGTACATTCAACAGCAGTTTCCATACAGGCAGGATAGAGTGAGAAGCCAAACATACCCATTAAAGTGATACTAAATGCAATTAAAATTCTCTGGTTCTCATAGCGACTAAGCTGTCAAAATAAAATGAAAATTTTTTTATTAATTATAAGTCAATAGTGGTCAGCAATTTTAAGGCAAATCCAAAAAGAAACAGGTTACTAAATGTGTAAAATTGACTGAGTATCTATCAATTCTTATTCAAACTGCACTGAATCTGCATTGAAAAGAAAATGAATAAAATTTTCTGGTAAGAAATATATTTTTTGGACTGAAAATAATAAAAACATGATGAATGTAGAATTGTCCATATAAGAAAAGAATTTCATGTCTCATTATCAATGTCTTTTCAAGAAATGTCGATAAATCTAAAACAAATAACTGATTCAAGATGATTATTATGAATTGGATTAAAGAAATGATATTGAAGATCTTTTAGAATGAAGAGAAAATAATTAACAATTGTTTAATCTTTATAAAACCTAAACACTGAATCTGTTTAAGTTTCGGTTATTTAATGTTGAAAAAAAAAAAAAAATTAAAATAAATAAATAAAAAAATACTCACCAATGAGAATGCCACACCTGCAAGGGAAGACAGTGCTGAACAAATTTTAATAACTTCTTCAAAACACTTTGTGCGATCTAAAATGAGGCCTGTTAATGCTGCACCTGTGACACCCCCACCAATTAAAAGAGCTCCGCAGAGGCCAGAAAATGTCTGTGAGCAAACAAAAAGAATTTGTTAGAATATTTTTAGATGAAGATTATTATTATTATTATTATTATATGCATTTATATTCAAACTAGCAAAGCTAATCTTGGTTGTTATAATCTTGGTACCCACCACCCTTCTTTAGGTGCATAGTGTACTTGGTAACCTTCTCAAAATTTTGATCAAAACCCTTTATTTAATCAATGGGGATTTGATTCTTCACATTCCACTTTTTATGATTATGCATTAACTTGTATGAGTTGATTGTCTTGATCCTATTTGCCTTTCACTCAAGCAGGCTATATAATTTTCTACACTACCTCAGCTAGGAATTGGACGCATTGTTAAAAATTTGAATATTCAGAAAGAATCTTAATTCACACTGACATAAGGTTTCCAGGCAACAGTAAGCAATATTTCATTTTGTAGAAAAAAAAAAAGAAGTATGGGACAAGGCCAAAAAAACTATTGAAAAAGTGTTGCTCTTTGTTTATTCTATTATTAACTAATTGCATTTACTGATCCAACCATTCTTCAAAGTTACTTTTACCACAGCATTGGATTTATTGTTACTCTTCGATGCAACAATCATCAAAAAGTCACATTTTCTTTATGAGAATTCTAAGTCCATATTTACAATTTCATGTAGGGAAGGGAATAAAGACAAATGGTTCATATATAATAATTTGAAAATTATTTAAATGGAAGAAAATATATTTACAAATTCATTAGTATGAATCATGCAAGTGACACATGACCTAGTGCATTGGTTAAAGAATATCAGAGTTCAATTCCTGTCAGAAACATCACATCTTCTGGTTCAGTAGAAGAAATGAACAAGCAACATAAATAACACTGGTAAGTATTAACTGATATGAGATATCCACTAATAGAACAGCCTACATCTGTGGTTTGGTTAAAAAACATTCCAAGGCTACCAAATATGACAAAAGATACCTGAAGAAGACCAAAGTGTACAAGTATCGTATTATTATTATTATTATTAACAACAACCAAAATAAGCACAGTGATCCAAATAGAAAAGCAAAAAATAATACAAATTAAAACCAATCTTTTAAAAATATTTGCAATATTTATGGAAACAAACTGGATTTATTCATACAAACTTGATATTTGTATCCTTTAAAGCTCACAATATTCTTTAATATAAAGATTTTTTTGATAAATCTTATTTTTAATGTATACCTATTTTTTCATTAGAAAGGATAAATGTCAAATATTCTCTGACATAATGGAAATGATAACCTTAGCAGTTTCCTTATTGCAGTTTAACACACAAAAATAAATGTCTGGTCATTGAAATACTGATTTAGTAAAGTGTGTTAGGCCAAAAACTTTTCAACACTCCTTTCTACAAGATTTATCTTTATTTGGTCAAGTTAGCTCAGACATTCATGTGTCTATCACACCAACCATCACAGTCTTGTATAAAGGATAAAAAATCATTAGGAAGGGATTCTGTGTCATAACATAGCTGATCAATGTAGGTAGTTGCTGGGTGACCAACTTGTCTCATGTCATGGTTAGGTGTCCAGAACAGTAGATCACTCGAAAGTTGCTTTGCTCATCAGCAGTGTCTTGCAAAGCACATCCTGTGTTCACATAAGATTGTAGAAATGTCAGGGAGGGATCCATAGAGCTGTGATATAGTTGGATGTTGTCTCCATGAGATGTTAATTATAGATCTCAGTCTATGAATGTAGGTTCCATCAAGCTTAGACTCTAGAGTCTTAGTTAATGTCCAAGCAGTGGAACCATACATTAACACTGTCTCTACATTGGCTCAAAAGAATCTCCATCTGAGGTTGTCTGGTAGATCAGATTTCCAGATTACATCCATTTTATTCAAGGTGGCCCAGGTTTTAGCTATGCAAATTTTAACTTAAAAAATCAGACTTAAACATGTTACTTTCACTTCTTAGCTAACAACTGTGACTGTATGAAACTGGAAAACTATAAAAATAAGATCTCAATTCCAAGTAACCTAATGATTTCCATTGGCTAACAACACTAACACCTGGAGTTTTATGACCACATCAAATTGAAACACCAGTTCCTGTATGATCATTGAAGTTAAGCAATGTCGAGCCTGGTCTGTACCTAGATTGGTGATCGTTTGGAAATACCAGGTGCTGTAAGCTTGGATGTGCAGGTGTTGTAATTGATAATGGCATGGAATTGTTAATCAAAAATCAGAGTTCCAATTCCACTTACTCACAAATACCCTTGGAAAAGGTATGAATCTGCCTTTTCTCCTCCCAGCTATGGGTTAAATAGTAAGACTTGTATCACTAAATAACTATCTCCAAAAAAAAAAAAAAAAGAAAAAATTATTGCAATCTAAGAATATTTTCTTTCTGGCTTTAAATAACCTGCAATAGGTTGATAAGTTGTAGAAAATGAATGAATCAATCAATTATAACAATTGGATAAAGTTCTGTGATGAGTTATCACAGATTATTTGATGATTAGTATCTCCATTTTTATTGCCTGTAAGTCATTATTCTAGCAAATCAGCTCTTGTCAGCAGTGTTTTGAAGACATAATGCAGACAAGGCAAGAATTTCAAAAAGGCGACATTATGTAAGTAACATTGCAATGATTGATTTTACTATTTTATTCATTTTACTTTCATGGAAGATATTTTGATAAGGTATTGACTATTTGTATTTTATTCTGAATTAAGGTAATGATTAAAAAAAAGTACTTACATTATCATATCCATGGGGGCATAAGATTTGTTGAATAAGTGTTGATAGTGTAGTGAACAGTCCAAGCCCTGTACCAAAACTCAAACACAATATCAAGTATGATTTGTTCTGAAAAATCTGAAAAAAAGGAACAACAAATAAAACCAATAAACTGTACTGAGGAGATAAAGTAATAAAGGCTATTTTGTTTTTTGCTCAGGATATTCATTAATATCAAAGAATTTCTAATGAATCTGTCATTTTTAATACACAATGCCTTGTTTTCATTTAAAATGTTAAATGTCAAATTTTATTTGAAGATTAAAAGTATATATTTTAAGCATTACTTAATGTCAAATTTTGATGCATCTTTGCAAAAATCAAGACTTTTCCAGTAAGATCTTCATGATATAAGTCAATTACAGGCAAACTGCACCCTGTTTGGCTTTCTGTATGGCACATCTTTTCATGAGGAAAATAACATTTTATTAAAATTTTGTTTCATTTTCACTTCTTCACTCACGCAATCTCTCATACATAACCACATATATAAAAAATGATTAAGTACAATGTTTCTTGAATTTAATAAACTTTTATAGAAGATATTTTCAGTACCTTAAACCATTGGAGATTTTCATTAAGAAAGCTCTTATGTATAAACATCTTTTGCTTCGGAAACGTTCATATTAATTTTTTTCTCTGAGAAAGAAATATATTTTTATCTTTTCAAAAATATCATTTTTTATTTTCAAATAAATCAAAAACAAATCACATGCATCAGTGTGTGTTACTCACACTGTCATCAGTGATAATATTATACCAAGACTTTAGATTTTGTTACCAAAGAAAAAAAAAATCAGCTTTCCCTCCATTTTTAAGGTGAATGCTTACATATATGGTGTTCTGTAGCGAAAATGGCTGCAGTACATTCAAGAAATAATTACACTGAATATTTTTTAGTAATGTGGCTCACCTTATGGTGAGCCATAACTCATGCATCCCATTAGATGTAAAATGTTTGCCCATACCTGATAAAAGATATTTGCTTCACTATTTAAAAAAAAAAAAAAAAATTCTATTTGAACAGAAAGTAAATGAAACTATGGAAAATAAAATATTATGAATGATTTGAGCAGAGAGGAATAATAATTCATTGAACACGCATTCAAAATTTTCTTTAAGGTTAAACCTTTTCTTTCTATTTTAATAAAACATGAAAAGTAAAAAATGGAATGTTTAATCTGATACTATTTTACTAACTTGTTTTAATCCTATGAAAAAAGGTTCGGATTTTTCTTCAGCGCTAACAGTTGGGGGAGTGGGTGGAACGGAACTGCACACACCAAAAGTAGCCATCAGCATTGATAATACAGCTGGGATAGAATATATTTGTAACTGAAATAGAAAAAGAAATCAGTATTAAGACACTGAATAGTCAAAAATCATGACAATAAACTGAGTTTGTAATACCATTATTATTATTATTATTATTGCAAGAACCAATGGCAGCTTTATCAATTGATGATTTAAAGTTTCAAGATGTTGAGTCAAAGTTTTAAAAAATAACATTGTATATAGAAAAGATAAAAAGGTGAATGAAAAATAAAAAAAATATTCAGAGAAATTAGATAAGCTCATACTATTGTAAGACAAGTAAACTTAATTTTTGACGGAAGACTGTTACGGTTTAAGGACAACAGATCAGGAACCTTTGGTAGAACCAGCTATGCAGTTCAAATGAAAATACAACCCAAAAAACATTTTAAACATTTAATTTTTTTTCTTGATTAGTTGTAATTTAAAAAAAAAAAAAAAAGGAAAGGATTGAAAAGAAAATAGAGGAGGAAAGTATATTAGAAGTAATTTTCCTTTTATGTATATTATTTTATTCTGAATTTTGTTATTTTTAATTTTCTATTAAAATCTAAGACACAGAACTTGAGGTATCCCAAGTAATTTCTTTTCATTGAAATACAGTGGATGGTATTTGACTTTTAAAATCTATGACAGACAACTTGTGAGCACAGATTCTTCATGGTTTCTGTCTTTAAATCACCATATTTATGATGGCCCAATATTCTTGTGATTATTTCCAAATCCAGAAACATTTCATATTCCCTTTGTTCTATCAAGACTTGACCATGTCATTTACCTGTTTTTTTTCTTGAGTTCCTTGATTCATGATAAAAACAAAATTTCAAAAGAATCTTAATTTTTTATAATTTGTCAATCATTATCAATTTTTGATTAGTATTTCTTTCACCTTAATTTCAGCTGTTTACCATCATAAGTAGTAAGACAATCTACAGCTGTAAGTAAACATTGTGGATTAGAAATAAAGAATAAGCTCTGAGATAAGAAATGAAGTCATATCCATTTGCTTCAGGAAGCCTCTATGTACAACAGCTGCTCTAGCATTTCATATGTCAAAACCAACAGTTGCACAAGATCAAATCTAAATGTATAAGCTCATTCCTTCTTTCTCTTCACCTCAATCATTTGTACCAGCATATTTGATGTTGTTATTATTATTAGTTAAAGAAGTTGTAAAATAAGCAATTGAAATTAGCCTGAAGGAAACATGTCAAAAATTAACAATAACTGAAAATGCTTCTGTAACAGAGAATCAGGTCAACTTGACTAGAGACCCAGAGTTGGTTGCATGTGGTGCCCTCTTCCACAATTGGCTGTTGAGAGAGGACATCCTACTTACAGCAAGTAGTGCTGACAATTTGCATATGAACAATACTAGGCAGGTATTAGTTAATAGTCAATGAGGGTCAGGGACTGGGAGAGCGCTATATAATTAGATTTTTCTCAGTTGGGAAGAGCGCTCTCAACGTGTGGAAAACCAGACAAGATGAAAACAGCTTCATTTAAAAAAAACATTCAAGGTATTTCCACTAATAATATTAACTAGTAGTACCCTTGAAAATTTCACAGTTCTCTATTTGAATTTTATGATGAATCATAATATTTAATAAATAAATAAGGTCAATGTGAATTCCATTATAAAATATTCATTGAAATTCTGCTATTGCATTGTTAAATATTCAAGCTTAACAACAAGTAGGAATGCAAATCATTACTTAAAGAGGGTAATGAAAACATTTAAAATTCACAAGTTTTTCCATTTCACTTTAGCAGATGTTAAACATATATGAGACTATTATCAACTCTTTTATCTTCTTTCTCTCTCTCTCTCTCCCTTTCTTTTACTCACTGAAACCAAGCAGTGTCTTTGATCTGTCTTTTCTTGTGGCCAAAAATGGAATAGTCCATAATTTAAGAGGTATTGACAAGATATAAGGTACATGCTAAATTTTAATGCTTTGAAAACAAAACTGCTCTCTGTTAATCATTTGAGAGACCCCTCTCTACATTCAATCAGTAAGGCTGATGATAACCTCCAGTAGTGACTTGTTCCTTCTCATGCTAACATTCTTGTTTGACATGAAGTGGAAAAACTATATTGAATCCATTGCTAGGTCAGCAGCTAAGAAAATTGGTTCATGGTATCATGCTAGACAATTTTTTTTCTCCAGAATCTAACTTGTATATCTATAAGTCTACCATTCATCCATGCTTTGAATATTGCTTCCACATATGGTCTGGTGCTCCTTTTAGATATCTAGAGATCCTTGATAAAATCCAAAGAAGAATCAGCAATATTATTGGTCCTGATCTGGTGTCTCAGCTTCAGTCACTTTCCTATTGCTGTAAAGTTGCCTTTCTGTGTCTTTTCTATAAATACTTTCACAGTAATTGTTTGGATGAGCTCTTCGCTATGGTATGGTATAGTATGGGGACTAGTTAGTATTTTCATAGAGACAAAGAGGTATTATGGTGGTTGTAGTAAGAAAGGTACAAATGAATGTGTTTTGCTGCAAGGAATATTGTTCGTACGATTGGGTCAGTGTTTGCGGCTAGCTAAGTTATAGTTAAGACAGAAGAAAACCGTCCTTTCCCCAAACCCCTTTTTGGCCTTGTGCCACATTTCTGTAGAGAACAGAATAAATATCGCTCTTCGCTATGGTACTTAGACTTTATGAATTTAAGTGCAGTACTAGACTAGTGACAAGGTTTTATCATTTTACAGTCGAGTTCACAAGGAGGTAACCATAAGTTCTGTGCTGAGTTTCTTTTCTCTCTCAGCTCACCTGTGGAACTCTCTTCTGACACCATGCTTTCCTGTCAACTTTAATCTTAAAAAATTTAAATGCAATGTCAATTGCTATCTGCTGTCCTCCTGATTACTCTTCTTTTGTTCTTGCCCCTTAGTAATGTTTCTGTTTTCTAATTCTTCCACACCCAGTAACCCCTTATGTCTTAGTGGCTTTCCTGCCTTGCTTGGGGTGAGTTTGATTAAAAAAAAAAAAAAAAAAATTTAATGGGACAAGTAGAATTATAAAATGAAAAACAAAACAACAATATCATTTATGGTGCCAAGTGCTTTTAGAAAAAAAATATGGATTCATCTTATATGGTTAGATGTAATCTTCTGTAATCATTGGTTGCTGTAGCACAAACTGTAGAGAAATTGTCAAACAGAGACAGGCTTCCCAAAGTAAATGAAGGCTTACGACCACATCATGTTGAAACATTGGTTCCTGTATGATCACTGAAGTTAAGCAACATCAAGCCTGGTCAAGACCTAGATGGGTGACCACTTGGGAATACCAGGTGCTGTAAATTTGGATATGCAGGGGATGTAACAGATAATGACTTGGAGTTTTTAATCAGAGAGTTGAGTTCCAATTCTAGTTGGGTTTGTTATATTTACTTACACCCAAATGTCCTTGGGAAAGGGAATTGAAGGCAAGACGGAGGAAAACAATGCATAACACACTTAGTGAGATTGAGTAAATGGATTGTGAGACAAGGTTCAAGAAAAATAAACAAAAAGACAAAATTTATTAAGAGCTACAAAGGATAATAAATAGAGCCATTATTGCTTATATCCTGAAGAAACACATCACATAGAAGAAAGATATATATGTCACTGAAAATTTTGCAATTAATTTTTTTATAAGTTTTTATTGTACAAATGTAAATACAAATTTCAAAAACAAAGTCCATTACTGAATGACAAAAGAAAATGAATCTTTTTTTATTTATTTACTTTTTTGAAAATTCTTTAAACCATTATATGTAATTGAATATTTTTTTAAATGGGTATCAACTTTGTGACAAGTCCATGATCATACATTTTTAAAAATAGACATTTTTTCTTCTTTATCTGCTGCATCCTTTCATAACTCTCCCTAACTTCCTGACAATTGTAGCACTTAATAAATTTTGTCTTTCTGTTATTTCTCCTGAACCCTGTCCTGCCATCCATTTTCTCAAACTCACTAAGTACGTTATGTGTTGTTTTCCTCTTGGACTCCATCAGCCCTGTGAGTATCAGATTTTTCAAACCCTCTTTCGTTATGTGCCCTAAAAATTTCAACTGTCTCTTCCTTATGTTAAGTATAAGTTTACTTTTTGTTTCCATTTTCTCTAAAACTTTGTCATTGCTCACATGTTCAGATCATGGTATTCTCAGCATCCTTCTGTAGAATCACATTTCTGTTGCTTCAAATCTCTTCTAGGATAGATATCACAGAACAGTTTAGTACCCTTTTCCTTGTTTCTAGTGAAGTTTTTCTATTTCTTAATATTAAGCCAAATAAATGGTCTGGTGCCTGTAGTATTTATTTTAATAAGTCATTTAAAACATTTGCAGGATGTAATATTCTAGGAAAAACAACAAAATTGAATAGTGGAAAAGCTTTCTATTTTGGAATAATAGAAAACAGAGTAAGTAACAAAGGAAGAAAAAGCCATCATCAATTTTAATTTGGAAAGAGAGAAAATTTAAAAAGAAATTAAAGTGGCTATGGATTTTATCTGAATAGTGATTTTAATATAAAGATATTTTGTTTGATTAGTAGAGATCACAATTCTTGTAGCTCATCAGTCATAAGTAAATCTGATGTACTGCAGCTGTGGGTGTGTCTAGAGAAAGATAGCATTATGGAGTCTCATCCCTTTTCGGGATGGTTTTGAATTCAGAATTGTTCTTCTAGATTGGTCACCAGCCAAGATGAAGGAACACAGTCTGCCATGCTAAATAGTGGGAGAAGAGACAGATTCAGGTTTTTTTCAAAAACACTAGTGCAAAGTGAACAGATTTGGCCAGAATTTGAACTTGGCATGTCAATTCCACTTCTTGTGCTAATAACCATTACACTACCCACATATCCCAATTAATAAAGAAGGTGAATAGAAACAAAAAAAAGTGTTGCAATCTCATCCAATCACCTCAACTGCCCAAATTGAAAAACTGTCATGATCTATTAAAAGAAAAACTCTTGTTTAGGAGACCAAAATATTTTTGATAAAACATTTTTTTAAAATGTCTTGTAAGACTTAATGAATAAGATTATTAGCTGCAAAAGCTAAAAGAAATTATTTGTTGTTTTCAAGGGACTTTTCATATTGCTTTTGATATGAAAGGTTTGCCATGTTTAAAAGCTCAAAATGTTATCACTTAAACAAATCTGTAAGAAAAGTTGATTTTGATAAGATTTGTATAGCAGGATATAATTTTGGCAATATTTCATATTCTAAATTACAAAAAAAAAAAAAAAAAATCACAGAACAGTGCATTTAAAAAAAAAATTCCTCCTTAGAAAAATTATTGAAATTACTTTCAAAGTGTTATTAAGTTGTGAATTAGATATTTAGCATTGAAAAAATAAAACTAACCAGAAATGGTATTTTGTCACCTGAAGTCACAATGGCTGGAGAAACTAAATTGGCTATCATGATACCAAGAGGATTTGCTGAAAACAAAACAAAAAAAACATAAGATTAAAATTGAAACAATAAAAATTAAATAGTTAATATAATTATTGCTTTTAAATATATTAATCATTTAGAAAATTTAGATTAGACTTTAGTACACATATAACACAAAATAACCTTTAAAATATGATTGACTACTAATGTGATATCAAAATGGATCATGCCTTGTTATGTCAGAAGGGATCTGTCATAATTATATCAGGTTATAAACAGAATCAATCCAATTTTTTACTATCTGGAATATCTCATTATGTAAATTTACATTCTATGATTTGGAAAATTCTTTATTACAAATAGAATTTTTTTCTTTTATGTGCTGTGTCTCTTCAGGACATGATCAATCATGGTCCTTCACAGCTTCCTATTCTTGCTTTAAGCAATGTTCATTTTTTTTAAACTATTATTCTCACTTCATGTTCTACTATTCATTTACATAATTTTGGAGATTGCTTGATATTTGCCCCTGTGAGAACATTTCAGTACCCAATATGTGGTGTACTGATGCACTTTCTAAAATTAATACTTAAATGAATTAAAAATCAAAGATCTAGATCATGATTTTATGATAAGTACAAAGAAAGTTATGCAAAAAACTGATATTTGATGCCCAACATATGGTGCCAAATGTGAGTAATAATCAATTTAACATAAAAGGAACTAAGTTTTACATATCTTCCCAAGAACAATTTTCTGACATTTTTCAGATTGAAA